TTTTGCCCTTCCACTACTTTCAAGAAAGAGATAGGCCTTTCAGAGAATTCAACCATTCAAAATGATCAAAAAAAGAAAAGAAAAAATTAGTTGAAGGCCTACCTGTAGAATCTAGTCACTCTATTCACGAATCCAGAGACATATTCCCAGTTGTATCGCAACGATGTTTTTGTTCGCTCGAAATTGTGGCACATGATCTCTTCATTCCTCACAGCCTAAACCTACGTGGTCAAAAAAAAAACAAACACAAAAAAAAATCCGGAACTATTGGTTACTCAGAAGAACACTCACCGTAAGCAAAGCCTGATCTTCGATGATATTCCACTCCGGTCCATCATAATCAAGTTCTTCTCTCACAGCCGGTGGTGGAGTAACCGGCCTGGCCAGTTCACGTCCTTTCTGTTCAACCTGACGTGGTGCAGTTCGACGTTCCTTTCTCGTGGATCTCTCTGGATGATCTTAATAACTCTATATTTTCTCTGACATAATTTTCGTACAAAAATATTCACCATTTTTGAGTTCGCTGTAACCTTGCATATACTGATCGAATTCAGCCGGTGAGTAAGGAGCTGGACTGTTAGCCACTGGAGGTGGAGTAAACGACTGGGGAGGATTGTGAAGGGCTTGCTGGAGCAAACTCATCACAGCCGCATCAGATGACGACATATGAGCGGTGCTGCTCATTGGCACAGGCGCAGGAGCTGAACCAAATATTTTTCGAAACTATAGAAAAAATTCTTTGCTATAGTTGCAAAATACCCACGAGTTTTCTTCACTGGGCTAGCTGGTTTGTTCAGTGAACTATGGAGCTCATGTATTTCTAGTGGAAGACGTTCTTCAGGCATAAAATCACGGTCGTACAGGAGATCGAGACAGTCGTCGAAGTAGAGATCATTCTCAGTATCCGACAATGGTGGTGTGGGAAATGGTGTCCACATCTAAACATCATCCAGGTACCGTGCTATAAAAACTTAAAGACGCTGAACATACCGGCATGATTTGGTTGAAGAAGTCTGGGTCATCAGCGAACACCTACAACTTTTGGTATGAAACTTTGAAGCTTTTTAGGAAAGGGAAAATATTATACGATGATGTCTGAGTCAGTTAAGACCCCCAGAAAGAATGTTTTGCTTTGAGAAAAATGCTTTACACACATATTTTATCAATGGTTGTTGCGGAAATTTTACCAAGGGCTCTGTCTGTCAAGGATCTCCCTTCATCAATCTTACCCTTCATCCTCCCCTTATTAGCAGATATTTTTGTGGAGTATGCGGACATAAATCACACTAATGACTACAGCGACCCACTATGTTTCAGCATATGTTCAATCAGTGTCAACTCCTTAAAACCTGTAATGGGTTTTTGCAAAGAACATTTACTTCTGAGCTAAAAATGTGCTGAAAAAATAATTTGATCAAGTTTTGAAGCCTTTAATAATTCGTTAGGATAGAAACTGACAGAACTGTACAACTCGAGTAGGAACTGAAGAAACTGACAGAACTGTACGACTCGAGTAGGAAATGCACTGCACTTTTATGGAACAGCTCCGCAGAGAAGCCTGTTCTATTTGAGCTTCATTACTGCATTGCTCAGAATACAGCCGGTGTCTTGATTGTAATTTTGACGCATTCTGCCTCTGTTACTGCTTCTTGCTCAAAAGTACAAGTTTGGTGTCAGTTTATAGCCCGCTCAATTCTAAACTGCATCATATGGGTGCGAGGCTGAGAATCATGAGGAATGTAGTCTCAGCTGTCTATCTCATTAGGATATCAAAATTGTAGAAACCCATAAACTGCCTCAATGACGAAGTCAAGCTCTCGTCCGCCTCGCTAGAGTGAGTCTTCCTGCCTCATTTGCAAGCTTATTTTCTGAGCATTCTTCTAGCCCACTAGCTTTCAAATGGTTCTCAAGCCTGGAAAAATGTTCATAAAATACGCTGGCGAACGCGACGCAAAATGTGAGCGAAGCGGTTGCGAGGACTGGAGCCGCTGGAGCTGCGATACCATCCATC